GTGATTGTTAAGCCCTCGTGTCTTACTGGCTGCGTGAGGCTGTTCTGTGAGTGATAACTGACCAGTGGTGCCTTGCCATCACCACATACTAGATGTGATTGGATAAATCAATATTGAAGAATTCAACTCGGTTGCCATAACCAATTTCATAATAGGATCGATGAGATAGATCAGAATAGTTATTTAATGTGTATTTAAATAAAAATAACAACATAATTTCAAAATATAAAATGTTTAAATTTAACTATCTTACTAAATTGGAAATCTTAAATGTAATGGGTTTTTATATAAAATTTTACGTTTCATCATTTACTCAAAGTGACTGATGTAATCAAATGGAAATATCTAATAATAAACATTACTCGCTCGTCCGATACTAAGTGACGTAAAGCATGTATGAAATTTGGATTTGGACTTTTGTACTCGTCGAGATGAGATTAATTTGAATAGAATATTCGTTGATTTCATTTTATTTTATAAATATGTTGGGACATTAAGATACAGCACCATCTAGTTCCATGGTAAGCCACGAGACCTGTGTTATGGATACCAGATTGTTGATACACTACATATATGTAACTTTAAACCCATGACTGGAGGACTAACATTCGTGCTCATCACACTAATGAATGCCCCCAGCGGGACTCGAACACGCGACCACTGGCACAGCAAGTAAACTGAGCCAAACGTGTTGTCGTTAAAAAAAAAACACAAGTCTTTTTTTTCTCTACAAAATTTCGCAGAGCGGTATACAATAGTTATCTTTATATCAGAATTTTTTTAAGCAAGTGATGGGAATTAATCGGCTGCGCTAATGGTTTTAGATTTAATTCCAAACGATTTTCTATCATTTTTTATTTATTTTTATTATATCCGTAATATAAAATTCGTTAGTTCGTTCTGAATTCGGATAAAAATTAAAAAAAACCAATTAAACTACACGGAAATTACACCAACAGTGCGACATCAATGCTGAGCGACAGAACTAACCATTTTTTAAAACTACAATAAAAATTGTTATATCAGTATCGCCATACTAAACTATCCTACTAATATTATAAATGTGAAAGTTTGTGGGGATGTACAGATAGATGTCTGGATGTTTAATACTCTTTTACACAAAAACGACTAAATGGATTTTAATGAAACTTTACAATAATATAGCTAGAATCAAAAATCGAAATATATCCGCGAAAAAATCCCAAAAACTAGACTTATATAAAAAGTGTCAAACATTGGTGTGAATCTAAGAAAGTATCATATTTTATTTATTACCCATATGTTATAACCATAAAAATATTTTATTCCACTCTCATTCGAATTCGTATGTCATTAGCAAAAATCCCATCAAAATTTCTTAAGCTTTTATCTACAAAAATTCTTTCACTTTCCCGAGATGAAAAGTAGCCTATTAAGTACTACTACTAAGAGAACTACTAAGAGCACTATCAACCAAACACCACATTTTCCTGCCAGTAAAAATCCCGTTATAGTTGGATTACAACATTCTTATTATAGAAACGAAAAGACTTTTGAATTCACTTGAAAGAATTCTATGTCCTGCTGTTACTGTTTTTCTTACTGACCAAGCTGTTTTTAACCGAACCAAAATATTAACGAAACCAAATGATTGTTTGAATTTTCATTACATGTAAGTAGCCATATTATTTTAATCTCATACTGACACTTCAACTCAATTTATGAATACTAGATTATAGTTCAAATGTATATTATTGTCGTTTTATTCTTTCTACGAAGCAAAAGCGTAAAGCAAAAATGCAACTTTCAACACGCCATTCCACTGATCTTACAACTAAGTTTTAAAACCGTCGTCGATCATTTAAATACGTTAACGATATCTATATAGTTTTATGAGTGTTTAGAATTTAATTAGCATACAAGGATTGTTGACGTCAATTGCTAGAAAGTTTGCACAAACTCGATGTTTGTCTTTAGCTTAGCGGTTTGATTAACGTAAATTGTTTTTTTTATTTCATTAGAAAATTAATATGATAATTGATATACCAGTTTTTCCGACATTGTCTTAGAAACTAGTATATATATATCACACCTCAGTCTCTCCCGTGACCATGAATGTAAAGCATTCGAAACGTCGGAAACCAAAAATTAAAATACATAATACGCGAAATAATCCGAATAGATAGTTTTATTTAAAAAATCCTTGCTTTGGGTTCTATTGCGATAACAAAGACCCCTAATAATAGTTTTTCTCAAATATCTTCCATGTATATTGTACAGAAAGCGATTAGTTATAAATTTATTATATGTAATGAATCATGATAATCTATAGATTATTGTAGGTCTATTTATGAAATCCGTTTTCAAAGTGAAGGAGTAACATATGTACATACACACAAATACAAACTTTGGCATTTTTAAAAGTAGTGTGGTTATAATTTATATAATAAAAAATTAAAAAATGTGCAAAAATATGGGCTAACTTTATAACCAATCATTTTCTTGTCTTCGAAACTACTGCACATGGAATATGAAAAATATTATAGAAAAAGGAAGGAAAATACATGTAAAAAAATGTGATTTTTACATGAAAATGGAACGCAATACTAATCATTCAATTTACATAATGTAAATAAACTTTATTCAATTAGACTTATTATGAGCACTTTTGAATCGTCAATATAGGTAATATAACTAGCGACTCACCCTAGCTCTGCTCGGGTTGCGGTTCCGGTCTCTAGTTATGTTTTAACGTTTAGTATAGATTTCTCAGAGATGAGATATTTTCCCAAAGTACAAAGTATCCTATATATTGACCTGGGTAACCAATTACCATTGTACCAAATTTCATCAAAATCCGTCCAGTGGTTTTTTGTGATTCCCAGACAGACAGACAGTCAAAATTTCTAAAAACTATAGATTCGGTCTTTGTATCGATAATAATGAATATTTCAATAAGATTTTCCAAAAAATATTTAATATACAGATTCGACTCAGAATTTTATTATACTATGTATAGAGAAATGTCAGTGTAGTCAGTAGGAAGCTACCAGCTCGAAAAGAAGTTCTGCTGAGAAGTACCTGAGGAAAACTCAATAGTTGCTCCTTTACATTTAGGTACTATTTATTTTATTAACATAACAATACAGATAGCCGTCAATAAGAAACTCTTGAACAAAGTAATTAATACGCTTTACTTAATAAAATATTTTTAATTTTATCTTTAAATTGTTGATAAATCTAGGGCAGTTTGTGGAATCTTATTATACATATATGCCCGGGCCCGTGAAGGGTTGATTCACGTATTACGTCCTTTTGGAGTCCAAATCTGAGCGTAACAAGCTTGTGGCGACTAAAATATTTACTAGGCAACACCGATTGCGTTGATCGTTTTGTTATATTATATACTCTGTGGTATTTTTCTTGAATATGTACGCTCTTGTTAATTTTGCGGCCTGCTATTGATATTATACATGTGGAACAAAAGATCTATTGTAAGTTGTAACGCAAATAAATAATTGTATGGATTCCAAAAGCTTATTTCTATTCCTAGTGTTTATTGTGAGTCTATCACTATTTTTTTAAATAATTATTTAAATTTTTGCAAACCAGCAATATATTACATAGTATACATTGTGACTCAACAGTAAGAATACCAATGTCTTTGAAAAAATCTCGCCGGTAATCACGAGGTCTTAGATCAAAGCCCGTACTGCTCTTTTTGAAGAATAAATACAAAGAAGTATTCCGTAAGATAAAATTCTATGAAAATAACTAAAATATACAAGTCGGGCAGTGTTAATATCTGTTAGGTTTTTGGCTTTTCTAACTACAAAGGCCGCGAAGCTGAGTTTATCTGCAAGTTTTGAGAGATAGGGGTTCCGCTAGATCTTAGAATTTAGTGTCATGCCAAAATATACTGTAGATATAGTACTGTTCTTTCACTTCAATCTAACTAGCACTTGACTAATTATTTTATTTAATCTAGTTAAACCAATTTTAACCTTGTATTCAGCCCTTTTTAACGTCCCACTGCTGGGCGCGGTCATCCCTTTAATACGAGGGGGATCAGGTCATAGTCCACCACGCTGGCCAAGTGCGGGTTGGCGGACTTCACATATCTTCCGAAAACTTGCTAGGTTCTCTCAGACATGCAGGTTTCCTCACGATATTTTCCTTCACCGTAAGACATACGGTAATCTTGTTGGATATGATTCGCACATGAAAATATCAGAGGTATGACATATGGGATTTGAACCCAATTCACTCGGTTTCCCAAGCGAGCGCGTTACCACTGGGCTACCACTGCCTTTTACTTTAAACCTTATACTTTTATTTTTAACCTTAGAAAGTACAAAATAAAAAAAAGTAAAAAATATCTTTCGATCAATCCAAATGCTCCAAAATCGGTATAGGTATGGTATGTTGCTTACAAGGCTTATTACAGGATTGTTATAAATTTTAACTTTTACCTACACAAAAATGGAAAAAAGTGTTTTACCATTAACAGTAATGTAAAGCCAAGTAGTAAATAATTAATGTAATAATAGAAAGTACCTGAGCTATACATAGTGTCATAAAAATACGCTATACACTCTATGAGTCTAATCTACGTTTTTTTTTAATTTAAATAGTATATTATTCTATAAAATAAACGATGTGAATTATAAATCCTTGTCTTAATGTGCATATCAAACAATCTTAAAAAATTGAATATATTTTTAAAACTACAATAAGTGCTTTAGAAACATTAATCACGTTACAAGTTTTCAATAACTTCACTTAAATGTCAATGTCTTAAACCAAAACGTTCATGAAATCCTAAGTAAATTACAAGACCCTCGAAAATTGAAAAAATCTCGCATGACGCCCTCCAATTAGGCAAACTTCCTACAGTGGTAGCATCTCCCTTACACAATCTTCCTTTCGCCGCCCCACCGCGTGCAAAGTATAGTATATATCAGTGTGACACTTGGACTCTAGATCATAGTTCGTACGGAACCTCAGATCTTCTATACAACATGAAAGCCTTCGTAGCGGTAAGTGCAGTGTGTGTAGTGTCCAAGTGTTGTGTTCAGAAATCAATAAATTCGAATTTGTGTGCGATTTTTTTTTCATATTTGTGTTATTGTGGTTGATTTCCGAACGACATCTCATTTTTTTTTCACGGAAAGGATAGTTGAAAAGTGAAAAATTTTAAGTTTATCAGTTATTGGAGATATTTAAGTGTCATATTATAAGCTTATCGATTATCCTTTTCTGAAATTATTAGTGATTATATATACAATTTTAGATTTAAAAGCATTTGTAGTAGAAATATCTATTATAATTGAATATAAATCAAATATGGTTAAAGTAACAATTGACTTCATGTAGCATTCTATTGAATTACACAAAGGCTGTAAATCTTTCAGATCTGATTAAGCCCGTGGGAAAAATGAAACTAAAACAGCACCATTTCACTTTGCGCTTCATACGATTGTGATCATGCTTTTCAAATGTCAAACGTAAAATATTTATCTGCATTTTAGTCTCTAATACCAGACAATAAAGTCTAAAGTACTGTAAACTAATGCTAGTAAAAGGAAGTTCACACAGATCAAGATGCAATAAATTCAAAACTTTTTGTAAGCCTTTTGTAATTCATTTGAATATTTTCCAAGCAATGATAAATCGTTTTGCGTTCTTTTAATACACTTCCCACGAAGGTAGCACTTCCTACATGATTTTTTCGGTAACTCCTTACATAGAGGATGGTAAGAAGTAGAGTAGCAGAGAGATGGTAACAATACGATGTCAATTTAAAAAAAATCAATGATCACAAACATATATCATACATATAGATTTTTAAACGTAAAATTTCCCTAATTTTTAGAATTTTAACTATCCCTATAGTTAAATGAGCCTTTTTCTTCATTTTTAACTAAAATGTTAAAAAATCTTTTTGTAAAATTATAAAAAGCTCAATCAGTTTTGTCATTATTTAGAATTCGCAGTTATTTTTAAATTATAAACATTTCCCCTATATAATATAATAATAATCCTAGGTGATGCAACCAACGGTCATAGGTCGAGTCGAGTGGCTACCGTAACGTATTGCAACAAAAACATATTTCCTTTACATAACTATTATACTTTCTCTATAATTACTTGGATTTCAAAACTAACATAAATTTTAATGTAAGACAAATAATGATTTTTTTTATATGAAATCTATTATTTTATAGATTATTTTATTTTCCAATTTCATTTTTAACTAGGTTTTGTTAAAATGTAGTTTAGTTAAAAATAGTATTGAAGATAAAAAAATCATAATTAGGACCTCTTGTTTTTTAATAAATCAATATATGTACTAAGAATAATATTAAAAGTTCATAAAAAGCTTTGTATTCAATGATTACAAGCAGCTTTCTTAGATTTACGCGAATATTTGACATTTTAAATAAAACTATGTTTTCGAATTTTTTCGCGGATTTATTTAGATTTTTGGTTCCCGACGTTTCGAATGCTTTAAGCAATCATGGTATCTCCGTAATCATAATTGCTGTAAATCATATGAAAAGTCTGAACCAAAAATGAAAATAAATCGGCGAAAAAATCCGAAAAGATGGTATTATTTAAAATGGTTACATACAGCTTCACTCAATATTCATAATACCTTTATCTGTCATTACCAAGTTTATTTCTCATCACAAAATTACCATGATAGTTAAAGTAGTCGAGTATTAAAACTTTCTACATCTTCCTTTGTAACTCGTATATAATCAAGATATTTTCTAATTGTTTAATAATGTTTATTCATGAATCAAAAATTACATTCTCATAATGCAAATGAAGGCAAACTTAAAGTGAATGCACTCATACCTTAGTCATCACTTAATTTAAAGTACAAACATGTACTTTGAAAGAATTTTAATAACATACGTAAAAATACAGCAGTTGAATAAAATAACATAACTTATTATAATTTTGAATTTTTAATAACTGGCGGTATACTAATCATACATACTTCAAAATAAAACGTATGTGATTGGCAGGCTCCCAGTTTCCCTATGGAAAAAATATCGTATATTCATAATAAAATACAAACAGACGAACATAGTGCCTCCTGCTTTTGAAGTCGGTTAAAAAAATAATCAATAGTTGAATTAAATAAAAGAAGGATAAATAAATTAACATACTTTGGCAATTTTATAGTATTAGTTAAGAGTCCAATATAAAACTAATAAGTCACTAAAAACATAAATATATTTATATATGTATAAAGAGGTTACGCAAAAATAAATGTGTCCGACATACGAATAGGTAAATAAATGTAAAATATATTTCAATAGCCATCGTTAGCTCCGTCCTTATAATGAGTTTAATTATGTAACATACCATAAAAGTATAGAAGGGCCATCACCCAAATACCATATCATCACCGTCGATGCGACATCGACCATGCGAAGCACGTTATACTGTCTAAGCATATGCGTTCTGATTATAAACGGCTTTGTAGATAAAATTTACCCAACGTAAAGCTACTAGAATTTATTTACTTAATTAGAATACTAATAAGTGTCTTAAAGTTTTGTATTGCTTAATATATTCTTCTTTCTATTCTTTGGGAAAACGATTAAAAAAATATTTGTAAAACAAATGGTTGTTTTTAAAGAGTAAATGAATTTAATAGAAAACTAGCGATTCGCCATCGCTTCGCTCGGGTTCGTCCTTAGATTGATTCCATATACAACCTTTCATCCCCATTTTCACCCCCTTAAGGAATGATTTTCGGGATAAAAACTATCCTATCCTCAAACTATCTTTTTACCTTTCATCTAAATCGGTCCAGTAATTGCGAAGCTTATTCGGTACAAACAAACAAAAAAAAATCTTTCCTCTTTATAATATTATTATAGAAGTATAGATATAGATTATGTAACTTTAAATCTTTATGGTGTATGGTTTTTTTATGTTACTAAGTAAAAAACTTAACTTATTTTTAAATGAGCGTCCTTTGAAGATAAAGCTTGATATCAAAGCGCAGAATAATACCAAGATGCTACCATTATACATATTATGCAGTCACGAAGATCTGGAAAGCTTAAGCGTGACTTCCCACTGCATCACGTAATGGACAATCGCACAAATATAGCATAAGCTATAATATATTCGTATAATCATTTGTATTCTGTTTGGTAATGATTGAAGTCGTCAGTTCGATTCCCAGAGAAAGGAAATAACAGTTTTGACTGTACAAACTTTTTAATAAATAACAACTCTTAGTTTACTATACTAGATAAAAAATTATGTCGATCCATCACATTTGTACGTGAAAAAATCTAATAAACAAATATAATCGTATTAGTAAAATAAAAGTAAGTAAAAGTATTCAAATTTAAATTTGTAATATTTTAGAAAACACGGAAAATATTGGGCAAGAAATTTGCAAGTTAAAATATTGTTTAACGAAGTTATTAAAATTAATAGGATACTCGTATAAAAATATGTATCTCAATCGACCTCTCACGTAAAGCGTAGCGCGCTGCGACGTGTCCGACCTATGACACTACACTTTCACTTCGCCATTCTATTATTTCGTTCCGAGCTTTTTCTAATATATCTCATTAGTGTTATTATAAGCTTTTACAGCTTTTACTACACCTTATATGAGCAAAAAGATATTTATAATATGAATGCTGTTAATAATTGTCTTATAATATTTAAGGTGATGTACCTATATTAAATTAACTAAAACGTTTAAAATATTTCGTTGGGCAATATATATATAAATAAATATACTTAGGTTTTATTGGTGATAAATTTTTTGGTGATAAATAATCTATAAAACTTACAAATACATCTATATATTAAGAAGTTTAAATAAATAACTTCTAATCTATCTTATTTTGAAAAATATTTTTAATACTAAAACATAATTTAGTAATATTTAAGTAAAAAATCAATTATTTTCTTGTAATATTTAATTTAAATGATTGCTTCCAAAAAAAAGATTAAAACTAAAAAGATATGACGTTTTCTAATACATATGTGTATTTTATTCTTAGAAAGTGACAAAATAAAAGCCCCCTAAATATAGAAACGTAACTTGACCCCGAATAATAGTGAGTATACGCGAGAGAAAAATTTCACCTTCAATTAACTTTAAGAACACGAAAGCCAACGATTTTGATTGCTTAGAACATTATTATTGCATAGTGATGTCCATATTCTATTTTAATATATTGAGATGTAATTAAAAACTAGAAGATAGTAAAATTCATCATTTTAACATATGAATGGATCATCTCTATTCATCATAATGAAAGCGCCAACCCGAATTTGGCTGTGTGAACTATGGCCTAAGTCTTATTATATTAAAACAAAGGCGTAGCAAGTTCAGCTGTATGATTTTTTAAAAAAGGTTGAATTATTTTAATATTAGAGAAACTGCTGCCATTATCGTGAACATCACTAATGTTTATATAACGTACAGTAGTGCTGAATAATATTTATTTAGTCATGCCTGCGAGAAGCGATCGCAAACAGAATAATATGGACTAAAAAGATAAAATATGGCAGCATTTTACTGTCAATTTCATGTTACTATTCATATAAAAAATTAAGACGTCTTTTTTTCGATAAATTATAGCTAACATAACTTAGTGGAAAATTAATTTTTGACGATATTATAACTGAATAATATTTAGGTGAAAAAAACTAAAGCTAAGGAAATGTATATAAGATGCCTTCTTTTTTATCTTGAGAATCTGAGGGCTTAGGAATCTGCGAAATACGCTTCTCTCCCTATTCAATAAAGAGGTAAAGTTTGTGAGTTTGTGGGATTGTGAGTTTGTGACGTTGTAGAGGGTAATCTCTGGATTTACTAATGCGATTTAGATAAAATTTGGTAAGAAGTTAGTTTAAGACCCTGGGAAGGACATAGGATATTTTTTATCCCGGAAATCATCCCTTAAGGGGGTGAAAATGGGGATGAAAGTTTGTATGGGGAATCAAACGTAGGAAGAAATAAATTTAGCATATTACGTTATTTTGCTTACGCCTATTTATACATAAATCACGCATTGGCATATTACATCTACAAGCATAATCAAACGTTGAAAGTAAAAGGCATTTAAGTACTTCGAACAACTTAGCGAGAATTTGTGAAAATTAACAACCTCATAATGTAAATAATACCGTGAAGATCCTGTATACTGTGACGAATTAGAATCTACAATATACATATTATTATGTTATTTTTAAAAACCATAGCCAAATTATCATGCATTCAAATGTATACACTAAAGAGATTAAAAAGGACTTAGTTAAATAACACACATTTAGTAAGTAACCTATTTGGGTCAACCTAATTGCTTATTTCTTTTACAGTGCATAGCCCTGGCGTTGGTAGCCTGCGCAAGCGCAGAAGCTCCGTCTGGTTACAACTATAACCGACCCTCTGGTGGAATCTCAGGCGGATTTAGCGGTGGCCTGAGTGGAGGCGGCTCCTACCAAGCTGTGTCATCCGGATACCAGACTTCCGAGGGTCAAAACGTCGATCCCCAACTCCTTGACCAAATCCGCCAAATCCTCCTTAAAGAAGAGGCTTCCTCTTCCAGCTCAGGATTTGGAGTCAGTGCTCCTTCATCATCCTATGGTGCTCCCTCATCTTCCTATGGCGTCCCATCATCTTCCTACGGAGTTCCCGGTCACGGTGGTCGCGTTGTTGGCATCAACCTTGAAGGAGTCCGTCAAGCTATCCAAGTAGCCCAATACGAACAGACCTCATCTGGCGGTGGATACCCATCTGGTCCCTCATCTTCATACGGAGCCCCCTCCCGCCCATCCAGCAGCTACGGCGCTCCCTACTAAATCCGAACTTGAAGATCCATTCGCTATTCGGGTGACTTCGTAACATCTCCGAGGGCCCGAATATTTAAACCAATGGGCAGACCGCCACGTACAATGTAGGTGGCATCTCCCGGCCCCCCATCCTGGCCAACGCCTGCGACTGTGCACGCACACGGGTTACCCAGCTGTCAGCCAGTCGTACTGGACAACTGTCAGAACTGATAAACTGGGTCTCACTCAATTAACAGTTCTGACAGCTCCATCTCCGTACGAAGTGGCTCACAGCTGGGAACGACTCTCGTTCTGTAAAAAGTTTATCGATAAGTTAGCTTAATTTACGTTATAAGATTTTGTTTTTTTTACAAAAAATAATAAATACATTTCGACACCGTACATTTTTGTTTCGTTTATCTTTTAAAATCAGAGCAAATGCATTACCTATAACTAACTTAAAGTTGAATGAAGATAAAGATAATACAATAAATTAAAAAATCGATAAATTACTTGAAAAGTATCAATAAACATGCATTTAGAAATTAACTGGAAAGTAATTGAAATTAATAAGCACAAATCAAAAGTTTTACATGTATGTAAGTTATCTAACCAAAATAATAATCTTAATGGCTACAAAAAGATAATACAAAGCTACTATAAACAATCAAAGGTATAGTACCATTCATTAGCAAAACATAAAAATGCTAATAAATGAAAGTAGAAATGTTAAAGTATGTTGATAAATATGCGCATCGAATTAACAATGTTATTATAACCGACGCGATTTTGTTTATCATGGGACTTTCATAAAACTACGAAATTTTTATGAAAATAATAACAATAAATATAATGAATATGCTAAAGAATTTTATGCATCAAGAAAGTTTCTATCTAAAAAATTAATTTGAATGTGATGTGATCTTTGAAATAATAAAACCTGTTCACTAAAAATTGTTCCAAATAATACATAATAATGTCCTTCTGACCGATTTCGGCCACTCGGTCGAGCGCGTGTACGCGCAGACACAAGTGCACTGTCTATTCCTGTCACTCTCATACTGCGATAGGACGACGACTCGACACGACCAGTGAGAGTTAAGGCGGAAGACCGACGGTCTTACGTGCCTTCCAAGGTAGGGGGGTGAAACACCGCCAACTTCCCTGGATGGGAACTTTCTCTGAAACTTGACTGGATTGCCGAATGCTAAAAGTTAATGCTAATGCGCGAGCTGTACATATTTTTGCAATTATTTATTTATTTGAAATCTTTATTATTTCTATTTATCAAAACCGCTTTGGCTAAAGAGCCAAACAAAACAAATATTATATCTCTATCTTTTGAATAACTCTTGGTTTTTTAAATAAAAAAATTAGACACTAGCAGCTCACCCTCGCTTCGCTCGGGCTCGTCGCCTCTAGAAATACACAATCAGATCTATCCCACGGGAACGTTCATTTTCCCGACATAAAAAGTAATCTGTTGTATGACCGGCAATATCAGCATGCCAAATTTTACTAAATTTGGTGCACAAGTTGTTGTGTACTAAGCTACATAAGTTACTATAGTTTTTTAACTATCTCACGGGAACTCTTTTTTAATTTTCTGGGATAAAAAGTATCTAAAACTTTGACCGGGGATATAAGGTACCACTATGTAAAATTCATTTAAATCGGTCCAATAGTTTCGGAGATTAGCCCGTACAAACTGACAACAGACAAAGAAACAAAAAAATTCAAAAAAATCTGGATTTGTTCTATTTATCTTCTTACATCCCCCTGACTCGGTTTTTAGCATTTCTTTTCTATGTACAGACATTCGACTTCTACAGTTTTATTATATGTATAGATATTTTACAAGATTTACTACAAGACAAAAGAATTCACTTCTGTTAATATCTAAAGCTAGCATAAGCGTAAAAGATTTCTTGAAGTACAAGGGCCTGGCATAAAGCCGAATAACAGTGCAGATTATACATGTAATACATAAATAAATCAAGTTTCGGGTCATGTAATAGATCTTAAAGGAAGTTTGCTCAATAACATCATTGTTGTAATGGAACTATTTGTTTTATTCTTCAATTCAATTCTTTGTTATTTGGCTTTTAGGCGTGCTTTTGGACACAGATTACTTCGCCAATGTCGTGTAGGATGGAGAAGACACGGAGTTTTATTCTTATTCTGAGCGAATTTATTTTGACGTCATATATGTAACTTCTGGAGTTTTTCATTTTCGACATATTTTAGGTCAAAGTACAATAACCCCATGAGATAAAGATGCTTAAATTTAGCACCATTTTTGTGGATGATGATGATACTCAGTATACTGGTAAAAGATTTGACGGCCATCCGCGTGGTGACGAGATTGTCAAAGGAATTTCGACGACTTGCGACGAAAGTATCGATCTCGGAGGGAGAAATTTTAAAACCGGGAGAAATTTTAAAACTATCTGCCGTCAGGCCAACAAACAGCTCAATAAACCGAATAATAAATAAAAATGAGTATTCTAAAACTGTGCTTGAATTTAGAGAGTGCGTTTAATCTCTCCCATACATAATGAATTATTACGAGCACCTCGCTTAAAGATAACTAATTTCACTCCGTTAAGAATGACATCGAATAACAATAGAAAACTATTCACATATAAATTTCAATTAAAATTGACTGAACCTGTTCTTACATCTTGAAAGTGTGTTGTAACTCATAATGAATTAATCATAATTAAAATCAAAACTAATTATTTAACACACAATAAAATTTAATGAATATTTAAAATTTTAAATACTTTGAGGCTATTTTCTATAAATACAGCTATTATTTGCATCTACATATATACAATATTTACTATTATTTCTTACGTCACGTTTCATCATCATCATCTCCCTGCCCATTTTCAAATTACTTGGGGTCGGCGCAGTACATTTTCTGTACTGGTGATAGGATTTGACCGGCCGCCTGCCTGACATGAACCTACAACCTCCTTGTGAATTCTTATACGTTAGTCATATCTTATTGTTAAATATTTTAAGCAAAAGTTACAATATGTTTAATAATTATTGATAATGGCGATTGAGATACTGTAGAAACAAAATTGAACAAATAAAACAAAATTGAAAAAAAAAGTTGTAGGAAACCCAAATTTAAAACATACTTTAAGAAAATGCTTCTAAATCTTCAAATCGAAACTCACTACGCCTCGGAATTTAGTTAAATAATTGATTTTACAATCGATAACGCAAATACAATTCAAAAATATATGGGATTTGCATATTCTAACCAATAAGTGTTATTTCATAATACATTCTCTGGTTTTTCAATCGCAGAAGTTCTATGGTGTATAGATTACTAGGAAGTAAGAAACTTAACAATAAGATGCTTTAGCATTCACATATTGTCATCCCTAGCATTTATAGCATTAATTAAAAATTTAAATAAGGAAAATATTATTCTAGATATTGAGATATTCTAGATGGAGGCAAAGCATTGAATGTAATTTTGTTTATAAATAATCTTGTAGGGAATCTGAAGCTTCAGTTTTCATTTATATTGTCTTGTAGATATATAAAGCTCCTCTAATCATAATATTATGCTGTTAAATAAAAGAAATGTTGAAGTGGAGGAGTATCAACATTCCCTAGTCTAGTCACTACATATAAAATATAATATAATACTACACTCTTTCTTCCAGTTTTTCAAATTCAACTTCCGTTGTAAACTCAACCCATTTGAATTTGCCCGCAAGGTATAGATGGGGGATCCACTAGTGATTTTGTGATTTCATTGTTATGTAACTAACTACTTCAATACTTTACCTAGTATGCGGTCATTTAAAAAACCGTTAGCTATTCACGGTACATTATAATTTTACAAACTACAAAGGCCTCAGGCTTATGAGTGAACTGTAACTCGTTGCTAGGAACAGTAGAAACTGTATATTTTTGCCAAGTAAAAGTTTACTCCTTCACCTCGCGTAGATTGGAAGAGACAATGTATTTCCGCTGGTTATTAAGTATTATGTAAAAATATTAAAAGTATGTAAGTATAAATACATAGAAATATTGATTATTGGTTTTTATGGCCATAAAACAGTTTTAAAGCATAATATGCTATGCAATTTTTATCTATAATATTGTACGTGAGAGCATCGACGAGACTGTCTTTTATATTACATTGGCCTCCACATTTACAGCTGTAGAAACAGCGTTTAAAAGCTTATTTTTATATTACTTTTCAATTTATCATTTATTTTTAGTATGTCTTTCGAAAACTATTGTAGTTTATGAAGAAAGAAATATTATGTAAAATAACTCGACAGAATATTTTCATCGAATTATCAAGAATGTATCGAATGTACCTGGATATTATTGTAATTATACTCGTATATACGGGACTCGGAGTTAGAAATTGAAATTACTCAAATAAAGGAGGTCACCATGACAACCCAACTGATTGCTAATGTTCTTTTTTAGATTAATTATTTTAGCTAGCTATTCCCAAGATTGCGTTGTGGCTTCGTGCACAGCGGAGAAATCTAAGAACGTTTTATATGTCACTAGGGACTTACGCTCACTATCGAGGTAAGTTTTAAATTGATATAAATAATTAGACATGTGACATTTTTGTGATTTTTTTTATTGTTTTAATAGTTATTCTGATCTGAAATAAATCTAACAAATCAAAGATCATATAAATCGATCCAGCCGTTCTTGAGTTATGAAAGGTTTAACTAACCCGACTTTCATTTATATACATGGACTAGCGACCCACTCTCGGTCCGTTTGGGTTCGTCCCTATTTACGGTCTAACGTTTAGTATACATTTCTCATAGAAGAGATTTTTTCCCCGCAGTAAAAAGTATCCTATATGTTGACCCAGATAACCAGCTATCATCATACCAAATTTCATCAAAATCTGTCCAGTGGTTTACTCGTGATGCGTTCTCAGACAGACAGACAGACTAAAATTCTAAAAGCTATAGATTCGGCCTCTGTATCGATAATAATGACTATTTCAATAAGATTTTCCAAAAAATTCAGATTCGACTCAGTTTTATTATATATACCTACATATAGCTAATAGCATATTATCAAGATTTCTCTAAAATTTAAAAGGGATACCTACTAGAAGAAATGATACAGAATTCCCAAAAACTTTGATGAGACTAAGTTTTAATCCCGGAAAAGTGTTGGCCACGGCAAATGAATTACCACGGAATGAAATAAGTATTTTATACATTTTTTTGGCCCCAAATGTAATGAGGGAAGCGAAAGTTAAAATCGCGATTCGACAGTTTAGAATAAATACATAATATTAGAAAACAAATTTATATTATATATACAGGGTTTGAATATTCACCTATAATTTAATTTTTTTAAATGATATTTAAAACTTTTGCTAAAATAACCAACAGCTGTCGTGGCCACACGGTATAGCGACGACCCACTTTAACAGTACATCATCTGATCATTATGAAATGCAATCCCGCGGCTAATCGCTCGCATCTCGGACATACTCTCTTACATAATACAATACCGATTTAGATAATCATTTTCACATTTTATTTTTGCGATGGTTTTATAATATTAGGAATTTTTATCGTCATCCATTGTAAATAATTATAATTATTAGTCTATAGACGAAGTAGAAAACTCTAGCTGCTTGCCTCGGTTGCACCTGTTTTTTTTTTACTTTAATATATCCCACAAGTGATAAAGTGTCTGTTTATGATATATATTTAAGAGGAATAATAAATGTACTTACAAGCAGATGATTGCCATATAAATTTTACTCACTTTTTACATATAGTTTCGTATTGATCCATGTCCGTAAAGAATTGCATTACAAACGTTTTAGCCAGTCTAGACCACAATACAGCTTAAACTTCTTACTTAACAAAATCAAAATAAAACAAAGGTAGTTATTAACTAAATCGAAAAAAAAAGGCAGACGAAGGAGCTAGTATTTTTTTTATAATATGTTGGGACATTAACACACAGCACTATCTAATTCCATGGTAAACTACCAGGCTTGTGTTATAGATACCAGATAGTTAATACATTACACATATATAACTTTAAATACATACACATTATAAATATAAACACCCATGACTGGAGTACAAACATTCGTGTTCATCACACAAATAAATACCCCCAGCGAGACTCGAACCCGCGACCGCTGGCACAGCAAGTAGTCACTACAAACTGAGCCAAACGTGTCGTCTACAAGTGCTGACTAATGCTAGTGGAAGGTAGAAAGTATAAAATGAATTAAATATTTCATTCGATGCTTACCACATATATTTTTTTTTTTGATAACCTGCATTTGCTAACTTTAACATCTTACAAAATAGTTGTGGGCAACAATGGCTGTGAAAGTACGTTAATTGCCTTAATGATAGCGAGATGGTATCTCGGAGACGTGCCAATTTATAAATGTAGAGCAACTTTTCACCTTTTCTTACACGCAGGTATGATATAACTGTTTTGAGTTTTCTGTTCCCTATTCTAAAACCTCTCAATAATTATGTTTTTTAAATGTCATGAACATTAGGCCGAGATAGAGTATCATCATCCTCCTGCCCAGTTTCCAAATTACTTGAGGTCGGTGCACGACGATGACTTCGAGCAAATAAATGAATTTATGATTACTGCGAAACTAACATTTAGTACAAGACTTCGCCCATTCAGTTGACAGATTCAGCATTATTCAAGTACCATAAATCTAAAATCTTCTTTTGCATATCTTGTAAGTATTTTTTATATTAAATTCTTACAATGTTATAGTAATATTTGTGAATATGATTCAGCATTAATTATATAAGCATCTTGTTAATCTTATTTACTATCTATTATATTCAGCTCACTAAAAATTTACTAACCTAACATTACACAGAAGAAAAATATGTTTTGTCTACATTTTTGATTTCCATATTTTAAAATTTCTATTATATAATCTTTGTCATTTCCATAAAAAAACTTACAAAAATAAAACAAAATGTATGGGAAAAAATAAATTTAATTCCATATCTACTCATCATAATTTACATCACAATACCGTTACTTGATAAAAACAATAATATCAACACAAAAATATTTTGCGTACAATTTTATCTACTTAGCACTAGGATATTGGCACTTTGTGAGCACAAATATATTTACATTTTACAGCATTAACTTTCTCGTGGATACGTCTTTGTTACAAAAACATTGTTATTTTGAATTAAAAGTTATTTAATTTGTATATAAAATTAATTATTTTTCTTTCATTTGTTCGTAATACTTAGAAAAAACAAAAATTACAAATGAAACTATAAAATCTAAATTTAAATATATGTATATATTTTTTTGAATGTTGAATAATTATAATTTTTTTTATATTGTTTTTTATATCTTACTTTAAGCAAAGACAATTTTGGACATCAGCCACAAAGGCATATCCACTTTATAGTATTTATAATACTTATTATGACAGTGTTAACTTAAATTTTCCTACCATAAACTCATTACATTATAAGTTAAAGGCACCAGTTCTGCTATTTTTACCTCCGAAGTATACATATACTTGAAATCACATTGCTTTAGCTCCATTTAAAATCTTCTTTAATTGTAAAAATAGCTTGTCCATACATGGGGTTGAAAAGTTATTTCGGTACTTTACAAAAGCACCGATCATATACAATAATTATAATAATTTGGCAGTAAATTGACAAAAATATTACCCAATTTCAATTACCCAGTTTCATAGATTGACTGACTTTTTGACTCACTTAAAAAAATAGATGTTCGTCATGTATATTTTTTTATGTAATTATTATCTTTATGTATAGAAACATAATTTTTACACACTTCTTCTTTTCTTCTCCACCTGTAATCTTTGAAAAATTTATTGATTTTTATTCTGATAACAGTACATTAAAATATCTAAAGAGAGCTTTCTTTGAAATTGTTTATTTTTTTTACATAAGTCAAGAAGCGTAATTGTTGTTTTTTAAAAATTATTCAGTTACAGTTACAAAATAAAAAATAGAATGTGAATCTCGTTTCTGTTCATTATTATTATTTTTATACTTGATAAATAAATAACTTTAAATAATTTTATACGAAAGTTAAAATGTACAGTAAGATTAACATGAAAAGGCGATGAGTATTCAATTCGGCCATATTTGAGCACCTTCATCGATTAAAATTGACAGTTAATTGAAATATTATTTATAAATACGATTATTATTTGATTTTATAGGGACTTGGTTTATTTTGACTTAGAAAATAATTAATCTATCATCTAACATATTTAATCATAAGTGTTCTGGACATCAAAAAAAATTCCAAAATATAACTTAAAATCATATAAAAAATAATACATTTTCCATTTTATTTGCTTTCTTGTAGATAGGTTGCTATTATAGTATAGCAGCAATTTCAGTTTTAGAATATGAAATGTCATAAAATGGGTAAACGGTTTCGCGAACGGTTCAGTAGTAATGAGTGAAATAAAAAAAATAATATGTTGTAAAATAATATTGAATATTTTTTGCGGCTTTTTGACATATTGGTCTTTGCGCTGGTTTTTTCATTAAACGACGGTTATTAAACACATTTTTCCCTCACGACTAGTGGAAAAGAGGATATTATTTTAGTCAAAGTACAAATTTTTAGGATTTAGATACAATGACTAAGTACTTATCTTTGGAACTTCTTTTTATAATTTATTTTCTCACTCTCGAAAAATAGTTATCTTCCCAAAATCACTTTACCAGCTTTGTATACATATAATTATAGAAAAAAAAGCAACATAATGAATAATTTTATGTTCTATTTCGACACAGTCTCTAAGTTAATACACGTGTCATTAACAATTTTTACATAAAAAAAGCCTAGTAAATTACAAAAAATATATTAATTTTAGTGAACATTACCAAATACTTTCAAAATAAAAGTATTATAAAATATATTTTTAAGCATTATTGTATGAAACAAGCGAACTCACGATATTTATCGTATTATAATATTAAAAAAAATTATCGTCTAATATTCGCGCATGTCTTTACTTAGAGGCAATCGTTATATTAACTTATGTAGCCAAGTTACAGGAGAACAGTTAAGAATTTTACATTTGTTTTATAATGAACAAAAATATAAATAAAAACATTACATTCTAACTAAAAAAATATATTTTATAATCTTATTTTGGTGTTTTGAAATATTTCAATCGTATAAATTGCTCTAAAAATAGTTACTAGGAACATTTACTCTACATATCTAAGTATATATAAATGCTTCCAAAAATATGGATATTCTATACAATAGATATAGCTACAATTTATAATGTTTATGTTTGGACCGAAATATTGTTTTGACTAAATGCATTAATTTTGTCAAAATTTTGTTAATATTGTATAAAGAAATATGAAAAAGGAAGAAAAAAGATAGTTTTCGCAAACTGGAACATAAATATAATGGCAAATGAGAAAAAGGTAACGCTACGTTCTAATGGAAAAAACAGAAATCTTAAATTAAAAGGAAAATTTCATCCAACCCCGTCTCAATTTATATAAAATAAAAATAAGATATTACGATAAAATATTTTCTAAATTCTAATATAATACAATTCATAATTAAGTTATCGACTAAAAACAACTGTCACTGTACTCTTATCTAACTGCTTAGTTCGTGTTTCTTCATTTTGTTGTGTACTAAATATGTACTCACTAGATTTTTTTTACTCAGCTATACCTACAATTTATTGAATTTATCTAAAAATTATGTCACATTAATGAAAGTAGGTGTCAATTTAGAGAGAAAGGCAATTGTACTTACTATTATAATAAATTACGTAATTTTTCAACACACCTCTAACGAAATAAAAAATGAGCGTAACACAATTTTTAAATAACCAAATAGAAAAAATCTCACAACAATTCATAAGACATTTTATTTACAAAAGCCTAACATTTCATACATTTGAAAAAATACTAATTTGAACCCTGTACTAGCTGGCACCCTTCTCTTCCGGCGGCCACAGGATCTCGGGGTGGTTCAACATGTAATACGTCATGTGCTTCTCACTGCCGTACGTCGAAGCTTTCGTTCCTAAGCACATTAAGAACTGACTCTTCTCCAAATTCTTATCACAGTCCACTGCATGGAATTTATGCACTAATGTCTCATCCGCTATCCTAAATACCGTTAAATTAGATTTTATCAACGTCTCGAATAACTGCACGTCTTCCAACCCCCACCCCTTGATGCTCAGGTCGAACCCCCCAACCCTTTCAAAGTCACGTTTAAAAATACTAAGAATACCAAAACCGTACTGTCTGAAATATCCATAATCATCGTGTATCTCTTTGCTGTACTTCAAATTGGCTAATTCCCTGTCGCTCATATCACTATCTACATTGTCTACAAACTTACCTAGATTACTATCCATCACAAGAGTTTCATCCTTGAACTTGTTAAAATCATCACCATACACTACTTCCGGGTTAAACTCACTGAACACTATCGGAAAGTAAACTTGGTGATATTTAATTGTATTTATTCTAATTCGCCTTAGACTTATATGATTGAACATTATGTCAACATCGATAAAGAACACTAAATCGTCACTAGCACACTTTTTTAAGCCTTCAGTTATAGCGGCACCTCGAGAGAACGTGGTGGAACCCATTTGAACTGTTTTTATATCCTTGCCATATTTGTCCTTGTAATGATTAATTAAGGATTCTGAATTGCTATAGTCTAAAGGACTTTTGGCGTCCAAATAAAGCACCACAATCAAGGTAACACTTTCGTCGCTCTTCAGAACTATATCCTCATAATTCTTCATGAAACGATTGAATATTGCGAATCTACCCAATAATGGGAGGATGAAGTTTATCCGTCTGTCGTAAATTGGGTATTCAAATTCATCATTATTCCATTTCAATACTTTCGGAAGGTTGTCCTGTAACTTTTGTATGCCATTTTCGAATGCTTCTCTCACGTTTAACTTGGATAGGTCTAGAAAGCTATTTTGACTCTGCGGGCTTGGCTCATCGAAGTCTTCATAGTCGTGGTAGGTCCTGGCATTGGGATCGAGCTGTTCGAGTACCTCCTCCTCTTCAACCGGTGGCGGCTCTCCCATTGGGAGTTCACGTATTTCAGTTCCTGGAAATAAGGGTACTTTTTAAATACTTGAAGATATTTTACTTAATTACTTTTGAAATTCTAACAATTAATTAAAACTATTTTCTAAAAATTAATAATCTACACATATAATAAAATTCTGACGGAGCCGAATCTGTACATGAAATATTTTTTGAAAAATCTTATTGAAATAGACATTATTATCGATACAGAGGCCGAATCTATAGTTTTTAAAATTTTTGGCTGTCTGTCTGTTACCGCATCACGGAAAAATCACTGGACGGATTTTGATGAAATTTGGTATGATGATGATGATGTTCTCCTGACCGATTCCGGCCACGGCGGCCAATCTCCCTGCGACAAGCCATCTGCGCAGGAGATATTATAGTACACAAGTGTACGCGCAGACACAACGTGCACTCTCCATTCTTGTCACTTTTATGTTTTATTTTGACCAGTGAGAGTTAAGGCGCAGGCTTTACGTGCTCTCCGAGAAACGGGGGTGACACACCGCCAACTTCCCAACTGCGGGCTGTTACTGAGGCTTACTATACAGAAAGACTCAATAACTAAACTTGGCCCGATCCGAGACTCAAACCCAGGACCTCCGGGCGTGCAGCCGTACATGCTAACCACTACACCACCGAGGCATATAGTAATTATAATTACTATTATAAATATAATTACTATGTGAAAAATATTTATTACTCATATATATTAATTAAAGACTTAAAAATTAGCAAGAATATTTGAGTATCAAAAACGTCTTCAAGTAATACCGTCCTTTATGGCATAAGCAATAAAACATAAATTACATATATTTAAGATCAAAGTAATTATTTTTGTACAGAATAGTATTTTGTATTGCAAGTCATATATATGTACTACTTTTGCATTTTTGTTGCTCATTTTCATTTCTCGAATTTCATTCAAATATATTTTGCCGTTGTTCTGTATTTTTTTTGTACTTTTGCACGTTCAATGCTAGCGTGATTAGATCATTATCTACGGGTTATAACTAATATTTGTTGTTATCAATTACGCGTTTGATTTAATCACCTGACTAGGCGCTAATTTTTCAATCAATAGATAAAATTTGACCTTCAACGAAACTATAACTACACTGAATAAAAACTTGAAATAATTGAAGTAATTAATTCATACAAACATATTTAATAATCTCCTTATATTATACTACCGATTCCTCACGGTTCTCCGTAAACATCTTTTCATTTTTAGAAACACATCGTTCCCGAATTCGTTGTGAGATCTAAGAATTTGATCTAACTTTTCTCAATATATAGGCTATAATGTATAAATATTTTCTTTAACTGGACCAATAAATCCTGAGTTCAAACAAACAAACAAATAAACAAAAAACAATAACAAAATCCTCATATATTATATAATCTTTGAACAACTCTAACTAAATTAAAAAAATTGCCTTCAAACAAACAAGTAAAGCAAACCAATATTTTCTTTAAAGTTGCTTGAATACTTTTGTCTATTTTTAGATTTAAACACCCTAAAACCATTAAAGATATAAATATAAATACTAGTAAATAACCTGTAAATGACTGCTGTAAATACGCGTGCCTCCTCACTGCGGCAGTCATCTTCCTGCCTCGGTAGCGCCTGTACTTGAGCAGCATGTCCAGCACGATGTCGACGCCGTGCAGCGGCTGCAGCCGTATGTACCCGTACAGCAGGTCATTGAAGTCGATCACTCTACCGCGTTGTCTGGACGGCGCGTTTATTATTTCCATCACCTGGAAAATTACGTGTAAACCAATATAAATACAAAACCAAGATCTTTCCCGAAAAACGTCGTCCAGGTACTAATAAAATAATAAAGAAAAGTAAAAAAAATATTTATGAATTTACGTTCAGACGACATGATTTATTAATTCGAAGCGTAAAGAGAAGAAGCGAGTGTAAATCGCTAAGGTTTATCCACGCTTCGCTCGTGCATCCTTAGGTGTCTTTTTACCATACATTTTATTCATTTATTTCAAACCTCGTGCTGATAAAGCAAATCGACGAAGTTATGATTTCTGACAGTAAGTGATGTGATGTTCTCCTGGCCGATTCCGGCCACGGCGGCCAATCTCAATGAGACTAGCCAACTGCGCAGGAGATATCATAGTTATTAGTATAATTTAAAAAAAAATATAGTCTAGTTTAATTTTTTTTTACTTCAAGGAATTGTATTTAAAATTCAATCAAAGTGAAATAAAAGGCTTTTTATATTATTTTATTTATGTACGTTTTTACTTTAATATAATGTGAGTGTAAAATATACTCATATAAGTAATGTTGGCAAAGAATGTTTATATAATTATTATAATCTATTAGATATTTGTTTATTTATTAGTATTTATTTGACGACACGTTTGGCTTAGTTTGTAGTGACCGTTCCTGTGCCAGCGGTCACGGGTTCGAGTCCCGCTGGGGGCATTCATTTGTGTGATGAGCACGAATGTTTGTACTCCAGTCATGGGTGTGTATATTTATAATATGTATATATTTAAAGTTATATATATGTATTGTATCAACTATCTGGTATCCATAACACAAGCCTAGCTTACTATGGAACTAGATGGTGCTGTGTCAATGTCCCAACATACGAGTATATTATATTTTGTTACCATTTTGAACTACTTATTTTGTCTTCATTTTAGACTAATTATTTGGTTTGGGAGGTACAATGCCATGAGCGTCAATCAGTAAAAGGCTTACCTCTCTTATGACATCATCTAAAGCCTCTCTCAAAGGTGTTTCTAATCGTCTCTTCGGATTTGAATGATTGATGGAATATATCGATTTACTTATAAAATCAAAAGGCACGATATCCTCAAACGTGTCGGCTTTGAATCTATTGAAGTCTATTGGAGCACCTGGAAATCGAGCAAGATATTTTTAAGCAATCTTAATTTTAAGTGATAGCATATCTTTATATATATAATTCTTCTGTGAGTGTGTATGTCACTGAACTTCTTTCAAACGACTGGACCGATTTTGATGAAATTTTTTGTGTGTGTTCAAGGGGATTTGGGAATGGTTTAGATTCACAATTTGAATAATAATTTTCATCAAAAAAATTATTAAAAAAAGTTTGAAATTTTCAAATTAAAGACGTAGACAGGACAACGTCTGTCGGGTCCGCTAGTGTATTATTAAATTACTATTAATTTGGAATTAGTTATTTTACAAGCTTTGCTTTCAGTCCCATCTTGTTATAATTACTAATATTTATTTAAATCTATCTTGCTGTAATTTTTTCTACAGTAATAGACACATACACTCGTAATAGAAAAAAATATAAAATTAACTTAATGATATACTTAACCCAATCAAACACCCCCCTCCCCCCTACACCCTATCACCCCTGCCCCTAATACAAACCCGGAAACCCTGTTTCGCGAATCCACCAAACCATAATATACCTTACACAAAATGTACTAATGCATGTAAAACTTATATTTCCTCCATCAGGGATTGAACCTCGACGGGTTCACGGGTTATATCAAAAAGTTTAAGAATCAGTTTTAAAGCTACTGCTGGCTTTAAGTATCTACCTAATATTTCATTATCTCCTAAGTACCCCGACTCTCCCATCTTCTTAGGAAACAAAGGCACCTCCTCATCGAGCATGTAATCTGCTACGTCTTCACTTTTCACACCTAACTCTTGAAGTGATAGCGCTATGTCTCTGTGTAAGTCTAGAGACTGCTCCCTTAAGTCTTGAATTTGAAGATTCTGAAATGAAAAAAATATATTTTTAATGTAACGATTTTTTTTTATAATGTTTTTATTTTGAAGTAATTTTTCTGACAATTGTTATTTTGTTTCTAAAGTTTAAACTAATCTGTACATATAATAAAATTGTAACTAAGCCGAATCTGTACATTAAATATTTTTTGGAAAATCTTATTGAAATAAACATTATTATCGATACAGAGGCCGCATCTACAGTTTTTAGAATTTTTATTTGTCTGTCTGTCTCTCTGTCCGTCTCTCTGTCTGTCTGTATGTCTGTCTGTCTGTCTGTCTGTTACCACAAGACAGAAAAAACACTGGAGGGATTTTAAATATTTGTACGGTGATAGCTGGTAATCCGGGTCAACATATAAAATACTGATTAGCGCGGGAAAATGTATCATTACTGAGAAAAAATACAAAAACTGCAATGTAAGAGTATACTAATATGTAAAACCTAAGAATTTGGTTTTTGATCATCTGAACGCGGGCGGAGTCGCGCGCAATGCTAGTTTAATATATTTATTTTAGCTGTCATATGAATGTATTAGATTGTAACTGAATATGAGGATTATTTCACTTCTTTCCGAAAAATAAATAAATAATCTGAAAATATAATACAACGCATTTCTTATCCAGTCCTTGGAAAATGGCAACAAGAGTATTGACAGAGGATATTTGATCGGCACTCGCGATGCCCGATACGAATACCTGTGTAAACAACCGCGTACACACATAGATACTTTAATTTCTAAAGATAAAAGACAAATGTTTTACAACAACAATTGTTTTTAAAGCCTACCTATTAAATACATACCTAATCAAATATTTTCGAAATCGGTGCCAGCCCATACAAAGCAAAGCACACCGACTTCGAAAATATTTGATTAGGTATGTATAGTAAATGAAAACTACCAATCAGTTATTTTTTACGTTTTAGTGCTTTTGTTTGAAGTCGGTTTTTATTTTTTTGTTAAAAAGTTTTTATACAACAACAATTGTGTTATTTAAACTATTATATTCAAAAAGTACTATTTTGATCGATGATTATATTAGAAGATTTTGCATTTCTCATTAATTAAATTTACTGTATTTGTTATTTTTTTAACGATTTCTAATTGGATATATATGTATGTATATATCCATCAATAAATAGTTTTTTTTGAACTTATATTCTTGAATGTGTCAAGAAAATGACTATGAGGAGTCAAATAATTACTGTGTGATTTTAAGATCAACATATCCTTTTAGTTAATTAAAACTAGCGACTCACCCTCGCTTCGCTCGGGTTTGTCCCTATGTACGTTTTAATTTTTTTGACCAGAACCTAATTCTTTTCTAAAATAAAAGTAGTCTGTGTTACTCTCTCTATAACATCAGCTATCTTCCTTCGTGAAAGTCCCGTCAAAATCAGTCCAGCCGTTTCAGAGATTATCCGGAACAAACAGACAGACAGATAAAAAAAAATGTGTTTTTCTTACAAGTACCGTATTTAATTATTATTTTTTAATTTGACATTACAAACAGACACTTCAATTTTATTTATCAGTATAGATGTATAGATGTTATTATCTTTATTGAGTATAAGCGGCTCCCACACACGGTGGCCGCGACCACGGCCATGATCACCCACCAAATCTTTAACTTAATTTGCTAACTCTTATTTACATTTCCGGTCACGGCAGCGTAGTGCTCGATATTAGATGTAACACGAATAATATGATTATTTTATTTACACGAACTAACGTTTCGAATACTTTACAGCAAACATGGTCACAGGAAAAACTACGGTTTTAGAAATCTACATATACACTAGCGGACCCGACAGACGTTGTCCTGTCTACACTGCGATGGTAGCGCCGTCTGTCGGATCCAATGTAAAACATTCCAAAATCAACAACTACTAATAAATTAAAAATTAATTAAAAAAACATTGTCCAGCGGACAAAATTGTGAATCTTAACCATTCCCAGATCCCCTTGAACACACACAAAAAATTTCATCAAAATCGGTCCAGTCGTTTTAAAAGAAGTTCACAGAAGAATTATATATATAAAGATATACATGTTACGGACAGTACCTACTAATATTTATAAAATTATTCATTTCAATATGCTGCTATCTTTCTTATTCCCTAGTGTGCACGTACATAATACGTTCAATGCACCGCATTATCGTCACCGATCGATTGCTGTGTCAAGTCGCAAATCTCAACGACTACTCCTAATCTATACATATAATAAAATTCTAACTAAGTCAAATCTGTACATTAAATATTTTTTGGGAAATCTAATTGAAATAGACATTATTATCAATACAGAGTCCGAATCTATAGTTTTTAGAATTTTTGTCTGTCTGTCTGTCTTTCTGTCTGTCTGTCTGTTACCGCATCACGAGAAAACCACTGGATAGATTTTGATGAAATTTGGTATGATGATAGCTGGTAGTCCGGGTCAACATATAGGCTACTTTTTACCGCAGGAAAATATCTCATTTCTGAGAAAAAATACAAAAATACAAGAACTGCATTGTAAGAGTATACTAATATTATGTAAAACCTAAGAATTAGGTTTTTGGTCATCCGAACGCGGTCGGTGCCGCGGGCAATGCTAGTATATTATATGCTGAAAAAATACTCGCAGCAAGCAATTAAACATTTATTTTTTATTAAAATTTGATATGCTTACTAAAGTACTACTCCAGGAGTTAATGAGTAAATGTTAATTTTAGAACATGTTTGCTACATGAAACATTAATAAACTTATTATCTTGAACTTGTTATCATCTATGTTGTCATTAAAGTTAATTATATTTTTATGTTATTATATTTTCCTAGTTACATCGAAAATTATAATATCAAAGTAACTAACCAGCAATATCGTAATAAAATATTAATTATGATCATCTCTTTAAAGCTATACCTAAAATGTATTTGTAAGGAAGTCGTTGTACGTAAAATCTTTGAAAATTTTGATCTCGCAGTATTTGTGCCTGCTTTGCTTGGTTTTCGAAGCGAGCACGTTACCAATGAGCTAATATGTATTATCTATAGTTAGTGTATTATTGATCCATACTAAAACTAATATTATAAATGCGAAAATAACTCTGTCTTTTTGTTTGTTTGTTACTTTTTCACGACTAATCGGCTGAACGGATTTAGATGAAAATTGGTATGGAGATAGTTTGGAGACCCTGGGAAGGATATAAGATAGTTTTAACCCCGGATATAATCCCTTAAGGGAGTGAAAAGGGGGCTCAAAGTTTGTATGGGAAATCAATAATTTCTCAAGTAAGATAATATAAACTCATCATACCCATGTATAACCATTTAGTCTATCTATATCATACTAACCGTCAAAACGTACTAAGGGACGAACCCAAGCGAAGCGAGACTGAGTCTTTAGTGAAAAATATATATTTAATTTCAATCAGTAGAGTAGATTTATTAGTAGATACTCTTTTCTTCGAATATAATTTATTGTACACTAAATATAAAAGCAAACGGCGACAGCGCCGCAGGCAGTGGCTAGTACATAAATAAGATAATAAAAGGTCCTTTTTAATAAACCATAGCCTTTCCATCATAAAAACTCGAAACATAAAAGGCAGAAACATAAAATCGTTAACGATATAACTCGTAAATGATCAAAAGGTAAGTCCGCGCATACTGCTGGCCGGTACTGCGATTATATTTGCAAAATTAGACTCGTTTTATATTGGCCGAGCTGTTTGTTTGACTGTTGTTAGGGTTCGCACGCAATTTTGTTACATAATACTCGTACGTAACACGTGTGTTTACTATACAATTAATTTAGATTCATAGCAATTGAGTAATTTACTAAAAATGTTTACGCATAATTAAATAAAAAATAGTTTATTATCAACACATCGAAATTCGTTTGGTTGTCTTTACATAACAAGATAATCATAAGTCTATTTTGTACTGTCAGCAGAACCTATTCATACGTAGAACATTAGTAAGAGTGTATAAATATCAAAAAGCTGTTACAATTTTTTAAATCTTCTATCTAAGCTCTAACCGACTTGCACGGTCGACATATTGGACTTACTCTGTTCTCCACTACCCCTTTAAGAACAAAGCGTGTCATGTACGTAATTTTAATTCAACTTGCAAAACGTATTTATAATATGTATGTATTTAAAGTTATATACGTGTAGTGTATCAACTATCTGGTATCCATAATACAAGCCTCGTAGCTTACCATGGAACTAGATGGTGTTGTGTGTTAATGTCCCAACATATTTATTAATTATTATTATTATATTAAGTTTTATCATGTATATTCAAGGCTATGATAAAGGGTAACCCTAGGCTAGGGCAGATTAAACAGCGTAGAGAACCTCTCAGTTAATGAGCTGCAATTATGAATGACTAACAGCGTTATCCATGTCGAGGATAATCTCAAGCCTGTAACTTTGTTAATAAACCTCTATAAAACTATAATCTTAATTTAACTATGGACTTAATTTGCTATGAATATCTGATGTGATAGGGATCTCAATTTACCCTTTAGCTCGTTAGGTTCGTACTTAAAGAAAATGAAGCAATAATAATTGTGGATGTCAATAAATTGGAGTTTTGTTTTAGAAAATATAAGAAATTGTTAGATACCAGTGACCATTAAAAATAAGTAGGGAGTATAGTACTTACATACATATAAGCTTTAAGGATTATAATTTAAACGTAGTAAAGGATATAATGTAACAAAATTAAATAACATTATACAAGTAATTTAGTGTTACAAATTTAGAAATAATGTGGTAACTAATCCATACTTAATATTATAAATCTGAAAGTGTGTTTGTTTGTTTGTCCTTCTTCCACGCTGAAACGGAGTGACGGATTGACGTGATTTTTTGTGTGGAGATAGTTGGAGGGCTGGAGAGTGACATAGGCTACTTTTTACCGCGAGAGATTACCTAATTTCCACGGGAAAACACGTTATGATACAATCCAAAAACATATTTGTAATCAGAATTACTTGAAATTTGGTATTAATGCTCTTCAATAAAATTAAATAAATACGTGTTTTAGCATTTTTCGAAGTTCATTCTATAAGGGGATAAAATAGGGGATGAAAGTTTGTATGAAATTACCTTTTTAGAGATTTTTTGTAGTTTTAGCGCGAGCGAAGCCGCGGGTTCTGCTAGTAGTTTATAAAGTTGAAGTTAAATATACCTAATAGTTAAATATATAAATATATTTAATAACCTGCCCACAAGAATCACGATGAGTGAAGTTATCCAGACTAACATGAAGTGAAAATATGTTGGCGTCAGATCAGTGTAGTTAAACTTGACCGTGTTTTAGTGAAATATAGAACGATTTAGAATTTATTTATATAGTTTTTATTCCTTTAAATTTTTACATAATAAAATTTACGTGTTTAATATAGGTAATAGCCCGAGAGCTTGTGACGAATTTTGGGAAGGTCCTTTTGGCAAGTTGAAATTGTGAAAAAATATAATTTCGTGAATTGGCGAGTCCAGTCCCGCAAGTCTGGTATAGCTTTAGTGGTTATTTCGTTACTGCGCAGTATATAATATTTGCAAAAAAAATATCCAAAAAAAAACATGTTTTTGGCTACTTTTTACCTTTGAAATTGTCATTTTTATCGATACACAGGCCGAATCTATAGTTTTTAGACTTTTTGTCTGTCTTCGATTTTGTTGAAATTTGGTATGGTGATAGCTGGTTATCCGGGTCAACAATTCATCATAAAGGATACTTTTACTGCGGGAAAATATGTCGTCTACGAGAAATCTATACTAAACGTTAAAAGCTTAAAACGCAACACGGGGCGAACCCGAGCGAAGCGAGGTTGAGCCGCTAGTAAGCTATATTTCAAGGTGATATCCTCCAACTTCAGAATTGGTGTACTGGGGATACAACGATTTTGAATTTGGTAAACCTCTATAGTAAAAATTACTAAAAGCGGTGCTAAAAAAATTAAAGGTTTACACTAATAGGTACACTGTGTGACCAAGTGACCGGAACTAGCTGAGTTTCTACCTGCAATATTTACTCTAATACAGTATGTATAAACAGTTGTTTTTAATTATTTCCAATAGTAACTAAACTATATATATATACTGACCTTAAAATAAGTATGCAATCTGTACATCTGCCTGTGATCTTTCACCGGATGCAGCGTAATCGCGCGATGCACTTCTCGCTTCTTGAGCCGGCCGGTGTACGCAGCGGCGCCGCTGCTATTGTGGTGGAGAATCGTTTGCATCTGCAATGTGGGAACATTCTCTTTAATTACAACATATGACACAAACAACCCCTAGCATCATTTTCAGAACAATATCTTATAATAGCGATAAGCCATATGTAATGTCAATTTTATTTTCAACCGACTTTAAAAAGAGATATTTAATTCAGGAATATTTATTTAGTTTATGTTAAGCTATATCTTTATCGATTGTGAACTGATTTTTAAATTTCCTTGTATAAATAAATTAAATAATACCTCAAAAGTCTCAAAAAATAATATTTTCTTAGATTTACGCGAATATTTGACATTTTAAATAAAACTATCTTTTCGGTTTTTTCGCGGATTTATTTGGATTTTTGGTTCCCGACGTTTCGAATGCTTTACAGCAATCATGGTCACGGGAGAGACTGAGGTGTTAGATGTCTCGAAGGTATAGTTGTTACAGACAGCCTACCCACAAATAACAAAATGAAAATTGCACCAATTACCTTACAATATTTTTTAACTTTAAACATTTTTATAATTGTAATTAGTTTTATTATTGAATATGTAATATTATTTATTTAATTTTTGCTGTTATCATTATAATTATTACTATTTTAAAAATATTAATTAGTAATCTATATTTAGTGTTGCCATTATTATATTTATAACCATAAAGAAAAAAATAAAATATAATATTAATTATTTAGGTTATATAATTGTTCTATGTGTAATTTAAAAAAGTTAAAATTAATTAAGGATAATAATTTTAATTTTGTTTGCTATTATTTAAAAAGACAAATTACTAAGCAACACTATTACTGTATACAAAATAGTATACAAAATATGTATGTATGTCAACTTATAAAACCGAAACGCCACATTTTTGTTTGGGTAATGAGATGATTGAGAAATAACTAAAGGAAACAAAATGTAAATAAATATAAAGTAATTACCACAAACATAATTTCTTCAAATTACATTTCTAACAATACGTAAATACTAAGAATCTTTGACGCCAATCAACAGGAAAATGTTTTTCTACGAAGATTCTGAACTCATATTTGTTTAGGTTTCATGCAAACGTGTAACAATATGTACAGCTTATTAACTGAAAAGATTCTTTCAAAAAGTTTTAATGAACTTCAATATTTTTAAGTGATTATCTATATTTTTTTAAATATTACGAACTAGGTTTATAATTTCTAAGCCTATATTTTAGACTAATAAGTAATAATCCTATACGGATACTATTTCATTGTCCTAGAAAATAAATAAACTACTTCATCTATTCTATATATATAATAAAATTGTAACTAAGCCGAATCTGTACATTAAATATTTTTATGGGACAATCTTTTGATTGAAATAAACATTATTATCGGTACATAGGCCGAATCTATAGTTTTTAGAATTTTTGTCTGTCTGTCTGTCTGTTACCGCATCACAGAAAAACCACTGGAGGGGTTATGATGAAATTTGGTATGATGATAGCTGGCTATCCGGGTCAACATATAGGATACTTTTTACCGCGGGAAAATATCTCATTTCTGAGAAAAAATACAAAAACTGCGTTGTAGGAGTATACTAATATGTAAAACCTAAGAATTTGGTTTTTGGTCATCTGAAAGCGGGCGGAGCCGCGGGCAATGCTAGTATATTATATATTTACATAGGTATAAATAGGTAAAATGAGTTGTTGTATCACAACGTGCTTTCCCGTGGGAATGAGATAATCTTCCACGGTCAAAAGAAGCCCATGTCATTCCAGCCCTCCAACTATCTGCACACAAGTCACGCCAATCCGTCACTCTATTTCCACGTGAAAGAAGGACATACAAACAAACACTTTAATATTAGTATGGATGTAACTTCATACATCATTTATTATTTATATTTATTATAATAACATGTACTAGATAAATGGAAAATATTAGAAATTATCGATTAGCATTAAAGTCAACGGGTTCAAAGAACACAAAATGATCGTACGATAAATAATATCAATCAATTAATTTTAAGTAAGTACATGATGTTTTAAATGAAGATTAAAGCTTGTTACGAAGTCGCTTTCATTTTGCCGACAATTAGAGACAGTATAGAAATATAATACTTTTGTATCTGCCGTTTGCTTACTACATTTATATTTATGTTTTAGTAATATTATACATAGTATAAAACGAAATCGCTTCCCGCTGTCTGTCTGTCCCTATGTATGCTTAGATCTTTAAAATTACGCAACAGATTTTAATGCTGTTTTTTTTAATAGATTTCGTTGAAAGCTCCAGACGGCTTATATTTTTCCGACACCTCTAACAAATATCGTTATATTTTAGCCAATGTATACGAAAACTTAACAAATTATATACCAAAACCTTCCTCTTGAATCACTCTATCTATTGCTGAAAACTGCATTAAAATCCGTTGAGTAGTTTAAAAGATCTAAGCGAAGCGATGCTGTATGAGCTATGTAAAGATTTATACATATGTAATATAAAGATAGTGGAATAGCAGAATAGGTATTCCAATGGTAATGGGCTCGCTTAGAAAACCGTATTGTGAATTACCACTTGTCTTACGGTCAAAGAAGACATCGTGAGGAAACCTGATATGATATGTTTATTTGTTTGGTTAAATGTCCGACTTCAACGTTTCAACATTACAACTTATCGATGTTATTATGTATGTTTGACCGACAGGATTTTACTATTAATTTTATAATATTTTTGCGATATGTAGGTCCTTCAAATGATCTTAAGGGTATTTAATGTGTTAAAGATACGTAAGCACGGTAATTTAAAAAAAAACTTATTTCATTCTTTTTAAAAAATATAAAAAGATTTGACCACGTCTTACTGGTATGCTGAACGAGTTTTTCTAAACAGCTATGATAATAATCTTAAATCTTAGCTTTAACTAGCAATGCCCGCGGCTCCGCCCGCGTTCAGATGACTAAAAACCAAATTCTAAGGTTTTACATATTAGATTACTCTTACAATGCAGTTTTTGTATTTTTTCCCAAAAATGAGATATTTTCCCGCGGTAAAAAGTATCCTAGTTGTTGACATGGATAAAATCCCTCCAGTGGTTTTTTCTGTGATGCGGTAACAGACAGGCAGACAGACAGACAGACAAACATTCTAAAAACTATAGATTCGGCCTCTGTATCGATAATAAAAGTTATTTCAGTAAGACTATCCAAAAAATTTTTAATGTACAGATTCGCCTTAGTTACAATATTATTAATATAGATATTGTTCCAGCTAATTCACTAAATAAGCACAACGGTATATACCTAGTACTTACTATACAATATACGTGTACGAGTTTTATGTCAAAATGTGAACCTAGAAATATAAAATTTTGACATCACGTTTAGCTCAGTTTGTAGTGGACTTATTTGCTGTGCCAATGGTCGCGGTTTCGAGTCCCGCTGGAGCCATTCATTTGTGTGATGAGCACGAATATTTGTACGCCAGTCACGGGTGTTTATATTTATAATATGTATGTATTAAAAAGTTATATATCTATGTGTAGTGTATCTACTATCTAGTATCCATAACACAAACCTCGTAGCTTACCATGGAACTATGTAGATGGTGCTGTGTGTTAATATCCAAACATATTTATTATAATTGAGGCACATATTGACGTAATATACGTCAAAATGTGAAGAATCACTTCACTCATAATATATTCGAAGGTGAAAAAATATAATATACGACGAGTTTTATTAACATACACATAACAAGTTTCTACTAATTAATATAATATGTTTATGAACAATAGGGAAGTAAAATTATTTTTAACTGTCATTTGAATGAGTAGAAACATGCATTTCTTACTAACAGCTCTAAAGTATTATGTAATAGATACTTAACAATTATTAGTCATAATACTTTCTTAGATTTACGCGAATATTTGACATTTTAAATAAAAGCCAGTTTCTCCCGTGACTATAATTGCTGTAAAGCATTCGAAACGTCGCTTCGTTGGGAACAAAAAATCAAAATAAATCCGCGAAATAATCCGAAAAGATAGTTTTATTTAAAATTATTAGTCAATTCTTTATATACGGTATAACTTAAATGTAGCCTGGACAATCGATTTCTAGTTTGAAAGTTAAAATGACTCAGAACTTTGTTGAAAAACTGAGTAACTGGCGACCGACCTCCGCTTGGTGTTTTTCGAAAAAGACATAAAAATTGCGTTTTTTTTTCAGAATAGAAACCTATACGATAAACTTAAAAAGCTAAACCTAATTTTTTTAGACAAGGTTTATTATTAGGTATAATAAAATACAAAATTTAATCTAAATCGTTAAAGTTGTTTCCGAGATACACGAAATAGATTTATATATACACGGGCGGCTCACCCTCGCTTCGCTCGGGTTCGAAATACAAAAATAAATCTATCCACAGGAAACCATAAATTTTTCCGGGATAAAAAGTAGCTTATTTTTTATTCTGCTGTATGAGCTATATTATTGTAAAGTTTCATCAAAATCCATTCAGTAAGTTTTGCGTGAAAGAGTATCAAACATCCATACATCCAGACATCCATACATCCTCACAAACAATGTCAAGATATACAACAATTTCTCATTTAATATTATAAGATTTTATAACAAAATTGATAACTTGCTAACTATTATCATGGGCGCTTGGTCTTATAACGAAGGCAGCAGATATGATCCCTTCACAAATGTTTATATCTACTATACGTTTGATCAATCTATGCTAAATGTTTTACCTCATCAGATAAGATGTGCCGCCTTACACGCATCTGTTCCAATTTCATGCCATTATATCAGTACATCATTGTGGAACAAAAAATAAAGAAGAGCGGCATTTTGAAGAAAATACCAGAATTATCATTTACCAGCCACTTAGTTCCGCTTAAATCCTAATTACACTCCACACTTGTCCATTACGTTTCGCAATATCGACATCTCGCGGAAACCACAAAATGTAATGGGTTAGTTATGGTAGTTTATGAGATTCTCTGGCCCATAAACTATCTCTGTACAAGAATCA